TTCATGTTCCAGCTGCTCCGGGGCCTCGCCTACTGCCACCGCCGCAAGATCCTGCACCGGGACCTGAAACCCCAGAACCTGCTCATCAATGAGCGGGGGGAGCTGAAGCTGGCGGACTTCGGTGAGGACACAGCCCCAGGGCCGCCGGGAGTCTGCCAGTCTCCTTAGGATGCGGGCGCCCTGGGGGAGGGCAGGCTGCGGCTCAGTGACATGTCTGTCCCTAGGACTGGCCCGGGCCAAGTCAGTGCCCACGAAGACCTACTCCAACGAGGTGGTGACCCTGTGGTACAGGCCCCCGGACGTGCTGCTGGGGTCCACGGAGTACTCCACCCCCATTGACATGTGGTGAGTGAGCGTCCCGGGACCTGGGGAGGCGGGGGGAGGACCTTCCACCCTCCAGACTCCCTTTGGCTGCCCCACGTGGCATCCTGGTGACCTGGATGCTACCCGGCGAAGTCTGAACCACACTGGGGGTTCCCTGTCTCTAAGTAGACCCCTCTGAGCTGTGCTTCTGAAGTATTTCCCCGGGGTCCCCGGGCTCACCGGAGGCCCCACAGTGAAGATGATGATCTGCCTAAGCAGATCGACTGGACGTTTTGGAAAGAATATATTATTTAAAAAATTTGCATGGATATTATTTGTTATCGTATGAATTCAAAAACCAAAACTAAAACCCAGGTTTCTGATGAGTGGCCTGGGGTCTGCAGAGAGCGGATGTATGACTTGTCCCCTCGTGGGACACAGAGTCGACAGGGTTTTGAGACAACACAGCTTAAGGAACTGCCACGGGGGTGCTGGCTGTGCAGACACAAACCCCACAGAGTGAAAGGGGAGCTGGCAGCGCGTCCTAGAGCCCGCAGGCGCCCCCATAGAGGCGCCCCCATAGAGGCGCCCCCATAGAGGCGCCCCCATAGAGGCTGTAGTGGAGGCTGGGCCCCCCACCCAGCGCCAGGACGTCCTGAGCCCCCCGGGGCAGGGAATCGTGGGGGAGCAGCGGTCCCTGACGCGCGCTGCCCGTTGCTCCCCGCAGGGGCGTGGGCTGCATTCACTACGAGATGGCCACGGGCAGGCCCCTCTTCCCCGGCTCCACGGTGAAGGAGGAGCTGCACCTCATCTTTCGACTCCTCGGTCAGTCTCCTGCGCTCCCCCAATGTGACCACCAGGGGGCGACAGAACTCTGTCCCGCCCAAGCGCATAAAGGGGCTGGGACGAGCCGCTGCGCCTGCTCACAGCAGGGCGAGGACCCAGGGGCCTTGGCCATTTTCTGTCTCCTCCCTGACATTGCATCCCTCCAGGTCGCCCTTGTCCCTGGCCCCTCACCAGGCCCCCCCACCCCTTTTTTGTCTCCCCAGGGACCCCAACAGAAGAGACGTGGCCCGGAGTGACGGGCCAGTCTGAGTTCCGTGCCTACAACTTCCCCCGGTACCTCCCCCAGCCGCTCATCAGCCACGTTCCCAGGTAGCCTGCCTCCCCAGCCTCCTCTCCTGCCTGTGGTCCTGGCTGCCCCCGGAGGTGCACACACCCTCCCTCCCACCCCGCCCAGGCCAGGCCTGTGCCAGCTCCTTCCTCCTGCAGGTTGGACTCCGAAGGCATCAACCTCCTGACCAGCCTTCTCCTGGTGAGTGTGCCCGCCGCTGGGCCAGGAACGGGCAGCCAAAGGCAGCTGAAGCCCACGACCCCACCCCGGCCCGGCACCCACCTCTGTGCTCACCCGCTCATACGTCAGGACTGTCCCTTTCCGGCCACTGTCCACCCCCATCCCCCCACCCAGGCCCAAGAGAAGCATGTTTTCCCCGCTGACTTGGAGTGGGCGCACTCAGAACCAAAACCCAATGCAAACTCACTGAGTGGCTGTGTGACTTGGGCAAGCTGCGGACCTTCTCTGTGCTTCAGTCTCCTCCACGCAAAGTGCAATCGATCATCCATGTTTTATAAGACGGCCCTGAGGCCAAATCGAGTTTATGGAACACACTTACTCTGGGGCATGTCTTTAATCCTTAAAGCACACAGAAGAGGGTACTTGTTGGTGTGACATGTTGCTGTTACTATTAACGTTGTGATCGCGGTTGCTTTAGCGGCTGCATTTCCATCCCCAGAGGAGGTCACACTCCTGAAGTCTCGTGTCTCGTTTTCCTGCTGGTGGGACCTGGGCTGAGGCTGCCTGGGGTTGGGCAGGAGCTGGGAACTGGCAGTGGACCCCAGGGCCTCTCAGTTTGGACGCGGGCCCCTCCCACATGGGCATCTAGCTTAGCTTAGGGGGACCGCTTCCCAAAGGGGTCCCTGCAGCCCGCCAGCTGGGACCCAACCCACCCCTGTGCTTTCAGTATGAATCGAAGAGCCGCATATCAGCAGAGGCAGCCCTGAACCACCCCTACTTCCGGTCTCTGGGGGAGCGTGTGCACCAGCTCCAAGACAGTGAGTGGCGGGGTGGTGGGGGGGGGGAGGGGCACCCCAGAACCCGGAAAGGGGGCAGCAGGTGTGGGCAGAAGAGCTGTAACAAAAAGGCCAGAGGCCCTCGGTCCAGCTGCACAGCCTTGGGCCAGGGCTTCCCCTCCTTCGGTTCTCAAACGGCCAAACTGTGGGTCTGAGACTCTGCCTGAAAGGCACAGTCCTAACTGAAGGGGTTCCCCAGCCAGGGGGCGCTCCCACCTCCATGCACTCTGGGTGCAGGGCCAGCTCCGCCCAGCTCTCTCCCTGTCCTCCCCTCCAGCTGCCTCCATCTTCTCCCTGAAGGAGATCCAGCTCCAGAAGGACCCAGGCGGCCGGGGACTGGCCTTCCAGCAGCCAGGTAGGGCCTGTGCGCCGTCCCCCCCTCCCCCACCCCGCTTAGTAGAGGAGACAGGACAGGCTGCTCCCCCCCCTCGGGGAACAGAGATGGGGCCCAGCAGCCCCTCTTGTGATGGGAAATCAGCATGGCCTCCTGGACGTTGGCTTCTCTTCCGGGGGCCTGTGGGGAGCAGGGAAGGGCTGGTTTCCCTATCTCCAGCCCAGGCTTCCTCCTCTAGTGTCTCCCGCCTCCTCCCCCACCCGCACCCCCACCCCGACAGAACTGGCTGCCTCTCACAGCCCTGAAGGCACGCGCTCTCTGTGCGTTCTCTGCACGCTCTGAGCTCTCCAACTAGCCTGCACCCTGGAGAGCTGTACTTGGTCTCGGAAACAGCTGTTGGCCTTGGAAGTGATAGGCACTTTCCATGCATTAACTCATTTAGTCCTTAAAACACCTGAGGTTGGTACTATTCCTGCTCTCCAGTCAATGCAACGGAGGCTGTGAAGAGGTTAAGTCTCAATTGCATGCAGCTCCTAAGTAGCGGAGACAGGATTTGAACCCAGGACTGACCGGCTACCAAGTGCGTGCCCTTGCTCGCCCTACCCCTCGTTCTGGAGCACGCCCTTCCCTCCGGCCCCAGCTGCCTCACTGCAGTCCCCTCTGTTCTCCAGGACGAGGGAAGAGCCGGCGACAAAGCATCTTCTGAGCTGCGCCCACCCCACTGCGGCCGGAGGGAGAGAGGGCACACTGAGCAGCTGCAGGCAGGGTGGCTTCTGCGGCCCTCGGAGGACGGAGGACGGAGGATCGAGGGCGAGGCCGGCCCAGAAGACCTCTGGCAGCCCTGTTGGCCACGCTGGGTCCTGACCTGCTCCTCACATCTCCCTGGTGGCCTCAGCCTGGACACCAACCCCTCCATCACCTGCCCTGGGAGGGGGTGAGGGGCAAGGAAGGACCTCGGATACTTTTCCATCCCAAAGCCCTCGGGCACCAGCGTGGGGCCCACGGGGCCAGGAGGACCCAGCTGCCAGGCTGAGCACGGTGCCCCGGACATGCCTCCCCCGGGGCCTGCCTGTCTCACCAGTTTGGTGGATCCCCTCATGGGCCCTCATTCCCTTCTCCCCTCTGAGAGCAGGAAGCGACATGGCACCTTTCCCAGGACCCTGGAATCCTGGGTGCCAGTTTGTGTGCCAAAGCACCTGAGGGGCAGGGGCCCCCAGGGCCACCGGGGAAATAGTCGGCCTATCCCCACTCCATCACCCCGCCTGCTCCCATCCCCCCTCCTGGCCAGAGGCCCTGTATGCTGCTGGATGCCCGCTGAGTCCGGCAGCCTGGCACCGCCAGCGGCACTCCTGCGCCTCCGCCGCCCGCCGTCTCCCTAGTCTGAAGGGGACTGACTGCCTTAAGTTGGAAGGTGGGAGCACGCACTGCCCTTGGAGCTCTGACCGGAGCTCCTACCTGCCCAGCCTTTCCCCAGAGCAGCTCCTGCTTGTCGCACCCGCGTGCTGATAAGCCAGCCCGGGGCCAGGGTCCTGAGGACAGCACCCAGATAGGCAGGGTCACCCTGGCACTGGTGCCAGGCTGGCCTTGGCTCCTTGGGCCTGGCACAGCCTCCCTGCCCTCCTTCCCAGCCCCTGTGGCCCTGTCCTTGCTCCGCCTGATCCTGGCACCAGCCGCCCCAAAGGGTGGTCATGAGAAGACGAGTGTAAATGGCCAGCCCGAGGTAGAGGAAGGTGGGGTGGGCCAGCACAGGGGCTGGAAGTCTGAGGGGCCTGGGCCCCTGGAGAAGGGCCTCCCCAGCACCCCTTCCGAGCCTGCCTGCTGTGTCCCCAAGGGCACCTCCACAGGTGGCTGAACCTCGAATACCAAGGCCAAGGGGAGGCCAGGCCCGACCTTTCCATACCAGCCCCTGCCCTGCCCGCCCTCCACCTGAGGGGCAGCCCTGGAGGGTCTTTGCCTCCTGCAGGGCCCCCCCCTCCCCCCACGGTACTGGTACTGTGAACGTCCTGGGACTCAGCAGGGAGACTGACGCCATATTTAATTCATGTACAGAAAGGAGCCGCAGTCTCGCGCAGAAAAGCTGAGTCCGACAGATTGATGCCAAAGATGGAGGCCTTCTGGGTCTCAGGGGTGCGGGTGTGTGTGTGTATGTGTGTGTGTATATATATAAAGTGGAGAGAGCGTTTGGCTTGTGTGTCTCTCTTCACCCCCTTGGGCTGTAGGAGGACGCCCTGCACCCTCCCGGCTGTGTTCCCAACGCTGCTGTGTTGAGGGCCAGGTCGGTGCCCGTGGGTGCGGAGGAGGCCTGCGTCCAGCCTTGGCCCCGGCCGGTGCCTGAAGAGTGGGGCCAGCCAGGGAGCCAAGAGGAGGGCTCTGCAGCTCTGGGTGCCGTAGCCAAGCCTGTGCTCCCCCAACCAGATGGCTCCCTGACTTCTTGGGAGGGAGGAAGATTCAAGAGGGTTGATGTGGGGAATGGCCAAGGCCAGGGAAGCAAACACCAGGGTACAAACCTCACGGTGATTCTGGCCCAGCAGTGCTCACCACCACCGGGGCTCCTCCTGCTGCCCAGTTGCCTCTGACCTTGGGTCTGTCTACAGCCTCTTACACACCTTCCACAGCTCTCGGCATCCTGCTCTCTAGGTTTGTTCTTTCCAAGGCCACTGGGAGAATGTGAGGCCCCTGAGCCACACCCCCGACCTCCCCTGTCCAGTGGGCTCAGCTCTGGCGGGAACCTTCCAGTGTGCTGGCATGCTTTCCAGAGGAGGAAGCTCATGTGGGAGGTGGTGAAACAGAATTTTTGGACTGGAACCCTGATTCTTTGTCCGCCGGAGTCGAAGAATGAATCCACGGACAGAGGGTAGTATAGCAGAGGTGGAGATTTAGTGAAGAACAAGTACAGACTCCCGCGTGGGGAGAGGGAAAGAGTCCCACAGAATGGACTCCCATGTGGGGAGGGGTAAAGGGTCCCACTGAGTTCCTTTTCCCTATGGCTTATCAAGGCTGCAGATCCTGGTGCCTTGATATCCCCTGATTGGTCCCTATTCCCTTAGACTGGTTACTATAGTAACTCCTGGGCTCAAAGGTCAAACACCACATGGGACATGGGATGCCCGCCTCCCTCATTGTTCTTTTCTTTCTGGCTTTCTTCCTTCTTTATTATGTAAATTAGATCTTTTTGGCTACTTCCAGCTCCCTTATCTTAGGGAGATGTACCTGTTGCTGCTCCCTGTATTATGGAAATGTAACTGCACCTGGCTTCCTTGTGTGATGGAGATGTACCTTCTCCCAGTCTGTAGCCCCGTGTTTTTCCATGGACCCCAATTCTCAAAATTCCCTAAGCCTGCCTATAATTCCCCTAAAATTCCTCTTTCAGTCCCCCCTCCGATTGGGAAACCCCAACTGCCGTTGGGGACAGGGGATGCCGCATCTTTCTGGCTGCTTCCTGCTGGCCAAGGGGTCGTAGTTTGGGGCGGCAGTCGGGGTCCCATCGGAAGGGGGTGGTCTAAGAGTCCACAGAAGATGGATGTAGCGGCCTCCAGTTGCTGTTCCATGCGGAGGATCGGCTGTAGCTTTAGGGCTTCTAAATGGGAGGATATGAAACATACCAAAGGTTAAACAGGCAATGGTTAAAGATGAGTAATAGAAAAACAGCATAGACCTTGGTCCTCTCCCTCTGGGAGAGGGAGTCAGCTAATGGGGATGGTATTATATCTTTAATTGGTGCCCAGACTTCTGGGGCAAGAGGCTCTGAGGCCTTCCTTTTAGCTAAGCTGCTTGCAGCAAAGAGTGTTATTCATGGCACAGACTTTGCCCTGCTCAATCGAGGGCTTCTCTGTGAATAAAAATCTGTAGAGGCTTGAGAAGTGGTTCTGGTCTGGTTGGTGGTAGGGGTAGCATAAGTTGGCCTATAGACTAAGATTTAACACATTTTACTCTGAAAGAGATGTGGGAGATATACATCTACTCTGAGATTATTTGACCCTGAATTGGGCTGCTTATAACATACTTAGTAGTTAGGGACTTGGGGGGCCAGTATGGCTTGAGAAACTTACGATACCAGGGTTCCAGAGAGGGGCTATGAGCAGGAATATCTGGTGGTGTTTCTGGGTCCCAGTAAGGACAGAGAAGGTCTCCTCCAGGTACCAGCCTAGGATTCAGGTGACACTTACGAAAAGACAGAATAAGAATTGTTAAAAAGATGAAAATACTGATTATTTAGAAGTACCAGAGAATGTTCCTTATCTGCCACTCATTGACTTCCCAGGATCCCTTCGAAAGAGACGTCTCAGGTCCTTTAGAGGCTCACAGGAGTAGAAATCTTGGTGATCTAGTTGAGGGCAATCTTGGTGATCTAGTTGAGGGCAATGCAGCTGTGTCCTCCTCCTGTGCTGGCTGGCATTCAAGGCTCACTGGAGACCGACCCGTTGAGAGACTTAAAGCCGGTGCCTGTAAAAGGGCCTTTTTGGGCTGTTTAAAGGCCTGCCCAGATAAATGAGGGCCATTCCTGAAAATCCTGGGCCAGAATGGACCATATTAGCTGACCGTTTTCATTATTGGGATCTTTTAAAGGCGAATAGGAACTGTGAGTTAGGAGGCAGGAGTATACAGAAAAAGGCATCCTTGAGACCTAGTACTGTAAACCACTCTGTGTCCTCTGGAATTTGGGCTAGTAAAGCCTAAGGGTTAGGGACTCTTGGCTGGATAGGAGTCACTGTCTTATTTACTAGTTATAAGAACTAGTCTTCCCCCTTTATTAGGCTCTTGTAGCCCTAAGATGGGGTATTGTAAGGACGATGACAAGGTTTCAATAAACCTTGGGCTTCTCAAATAGATGGCCGATTAGAATATTGAGTCCTTCTAGAGCAGTGGTTCTCAACCTTCCTAATGCCGCGACCCTTTAATACAGTTCCTCATGTTGTGGTGACCCCCAACCATAAAATTATTTTTGTTGTTACTTCATAACTGTAATCTTGCTACTGTTATGAATCGTCATGTAAATATCTGATATGTAGGATGTATTTTCATTGTTACAAATGGAACATAATGAAAGCATAGTGATTAACCACAAAAACAATATGTAATTATAGATGTGTTTTCCGATGGTCTTAGGCGACCCGTGTGAAAGGGTTGTTCGATGCCCCCAAAGGGGTCGCGACCCACAGGTTGAGAACCGCTGTTCTAGAGCCTCAGGGTTGAGAGGACAGTGTTTCTGATGTGAGTGTGAGGCTTTTTGCAGGATCAGGAAGGCATGGGAAGGAACCACTTACCCCAGCTGCACCCTAAAGGCTGAGAAAAAAGATCTCTCTCTTGGCTTCCCAGACATGCCTGTAACGGCTGCAGCCTCTGAGGATTTACCAAGGTTTGGGAGGAGTACAGAGAAGGTGGCTCCAGCATCGGGGAGGAAATTAATTTCCTTGCCCCCCCACCGTCAGGCTTACCCGGGGCTCCTGGGTGGAGGTGGCGGTCCTCTGAGGAGCCGGATTGAGAGACCCTGAGCCCCATCAGTCCTATTGGGCCAGCCGGTCGCCAGCCCTGCCCCAAGGGACCTCAGTCTCCAGGGTCAGTCCGACTTCCAGTGGCTTCCTTGGCAGGTCGAACAGGGCTTCAGGAGTCCAACATGCCCCTTGGGGCAATTCCGGCGCATAAGTCCAACCTGTTGCAGTTGTAGCAGGTGATCGGGACTGACTGACTGCCTCCGGGCTCTGACTGGGGGCCCTTGCCTTGCCAAAGCCTGGCACAAAGAACCTGGGTTCTGGCCCGGCTTCCCCTGTTCTTCTGCCTCATTCTGGTCTTTATTCTAGAACACAGAGGCGGCGATCTTCAGGAGATTCTGTAAAGTATTCTCGGGACTAATAGCCCATTTCTGCA